GTTGTGACCAAAAGTTATCACAGGATTTGCCCAATGTTGAATGGCGCACCCGCTGCCGAGCATTGAATCTTGAGGTCTCGCCATGAAAAACGAAATTGCTGTAGCTCTGGCATAAATAGTCCTGTCTCCACCAAACTTCACATGATTCATATTAGTCCCGCCCTGAACACATTTTCATTACCATATTTCCTGATACTCATAGACCCACCTAGTGGCGACAGGAAGTAGGTCTCATCAAACGCTTATTTTTCGATTTATCTGAAAGTTACATGCTGTGGTGTATATTTGATGTACAAAAACATGATGTATAATTAGTGCGCTCTCCAACTCCCTCTAGTGGAAAGAGGAAGTGATACAAAATGTGCAATATGTCATTCCAGCACTGTATCAAGGATATGCAGAGTCACTCCTGCATGCGATATCTAACTTTGACAGAAATGAACTGACGCGTCAGAAGGCGTCCTGCCAGCTGAAAACTAACCCTGCATGAGCCGATCTCACCCGGGGTCACAGCTCTCCTCTCAGTGGCACCACGACCGTGCCACACGCGCCCTGTAATCTCTTGTTACAGTTTATGGCAGATAAGACTACAACAATACACACATCGTAACATGTGTATGATAATCAACCGCTCCACGGATTGATTTCTCAACGACTTCATTGAAAACAAATGCACACGGCAGGGAGGAGGGTTAGTAAAACAGAGGAAAAGTGACAGGACGCTAAATTTCTCAGCTTCGCGTCGCAGTTTATTTATTAATGTGGTTAAAAATACAACCTACCTTGAATGTTGGCAAAATCGCTATCTCTGCTGCTGTTAGTTTGAAAACAATCCAGCACTGGCAGGCCTTCTCTCATTCTCACTCCGCCATGCAGACAAAAGTCCCTCTCCTCTGATTGGTTGTGGAATCAGTCGATCTCAGATCAGCACCCGCCTTTTTCTCCATAGACTGAATGCACAGATAGTTTTTCACCAAATATCTCAGTGGAGGCACGATTTGTGATTTGTAGTTGAGGGAAACAGAATCTGTGACTCGTGGGGAAGGAAACAGAATCTATGACTTGTGGGGAAGGAAACAGAATCTGTGACTCGTGGGGAAGGAAACAGAATCTGTGACTCGTGGGGAAGATTCGAGCAGTTGTAATTATCGATTTGTATTTGTGTTTTAAAGGAACACAAATAATTTCCTGAGAAATTATTTTACATACATTGAACATTTTTTGCACAAGTTCACATTCAGGTTTGCACATATTCAAATTGTGTGTGTTTGTGTTTGTGTTGTATTTGTGGAGAGAAAAAAAAAATCTACAAGTACACAACTCATACTGACACACATACAAATCACTGTACAAGTACACAACTCATACTTAAACACATACAAATCACTGTACACAACTACAAATTCTACTGTTACAGGTGCTCAAACCTTTTTACTATATCTTACTACTATACCTTCATACTAATCCCCCACCTGCACTCAGGATCTGTGAAGGGGATGTGTGTCAGTTCTTTTACAAAGAGAAGACAAGGAAGGAACCTGACCCTGACACTGGCCCTCATTTAATAAAACAAACTTATGACAGAAAACTGGGTGTATAGTCATTTCCAAGCACAGCTCTGTATTTATCAATGAGGACGTGAGTGGAAGCTACGATCAAATCTCATGTCAGGTCTCGACTCCTGTACGTAAGTTTGAGTCAGCGTGAACCTACAGTGCAGCATAGTAAATCTGGCTGAGGTGGAGAATTGCTATTGACCCAATTCTGACTGACATCTAAGTATTTGCAGCCATAGATTAACACTTTAAAATGTATAGAGTGCATGGAAACCCCGCCTTCTTACCCGACCAATACATTCTGATCACATCACAGATTTTTTTATTGCTCATCTTGACTCAAGGAAAGTTTTACATATATGCAACCTCAATGGATCAAAAATTCATAATGAAAAGATTTCAAATTAACCTTGGTGGCAGTTGGAGGTGTCCGGTCAACGGTTATTTTACTGGTCTGTGGGGAAAATGCTTTGTGGGCCTCTAGATCTCACTAATATATATCTTGTTAACTTAATCCATACAAAAACAATTAAAAATGGATATTCACTGTTTTACAGCAGTTATACTTTTTTTTTTTTAAGTTTTAAAACACAAAAACTCAACGCGTGTACAACTTACAAACTTGCTCTCTAAATCCCAGCAACAGCAGTCACTTAGGTAGCGAACGACCAAACCTCTGATGAAGTCAATGAGCAGGATGCTGGCCACTGTGAAGATCATGTCAATGATGGACAGCTTCAACATCTCCTGGAGACACACCATACACATTGTCGTGAGAACATCATGTAAATATACAAACATATGCAGTTTCTTTAATTATTCACCACTCAAAGCAGGCTACTCAAAACCTGCTCATTACATTAGTAGTGTCTGCAGTTGTGTGTTTCAGCACTCAACTGCTGTCTACTGTCGGTGGCCGACAAGGACAAACGCGATGCAAATAGAGAAACGCACTGCATATAAGAAAACAAATGCAAAGGGAAAATGCTGCAAATACAGAAATGTGCTGCAAATACAGAAACACACTGCAAATAGAGAAACGCGCTGCATATGAGAAAACAAATGCAACTGGAAAACGCTGCATATACAGAAAGGTGCTGCATATACTGAAACGTGCTGTAAATAAGAAAACAAATGCAAAAAGAAAATGCTACATATACACTCATACAATGAAAGTGCTTCAGACCTCTAGGGGCAGTGCTGAGCTTCCACCCGAGAGACAGACGAGTGAGCGAGAAGAAGAAAGTTATGTTTGGAGGAAAGTTGGAGCCGGGACAGGCAACACAGAAAGGTACGTATTCTTTTTTCTTTTTCTTTCTTTCTTGTTTTTCACATGTGGCCCTCATCTTTTACTGTATAATTAAAGTGAAGCTCGTGCTGGTGTTTATTTGACATTAGCGTGCTGCAGACTTTGAGTTCTACACAAGTAGTGTATCTGTAGTAGTAATGTTAGCTAACGTTACTTTCCTGGACACCGCAGGTTTCAGTTCGGAGGCCTATTTTTCTGAACATTTTTTAATGTATAATACAGAGGTCATGATTACATTATAGACTTATTCATTATAGACTTTTAACAGCTCATATCATAAATAATTTGATATTAGTTTTTGGGTTATAAAATTAAATATTATCTATTTGTGTTTAGACCTGAACCGCTGTGAAACAATCATAAAATAATGTTGTCTCTGATTTGCCTGCTGTCTATCAGCACTGAGTGCCGCCTCCTCCCATTGAGTCTGTACCGCGGACACAATGCTGCACTGCCCGAGTCCGAGGAGGAGGACAGAAAAGACTCTTTTGCTACTCATAATGAAAACTCCATGGGCTGCAATAATCCAAGATCAGCGGCTCACCGCAATTATAGGAAATATGCACGAGTGGGATAAAAACATGAAGGTGAAAGTGATTACATCCAGCAAGGACTTTCACCCAACTTTGATTATGATGATAATAATAAATAATAGCAATGATAATGATAAATAATCTAACCCAATACATTCATAAAAATGAAACAAAAGAGCCTAACATAGGAAACAGATTATCATGACATTTATATTAAAATCCTAAAAACAAGGAAAATCAAATCAAATAAATCCACCATAAAAACTTCCAAGACTTCTATTAAAGTTTTTAAAGTTTTTTAAAGGTTGCTCATATTATACATGGCCAAAGTTTCAAATAATGGGGTAGAATACGTAGAAGTAATCCCTGTGAGTAGAAAGCACAAGCCTCAGACTGCTCTGAATGCCAGCTGATGTCATCTTGCAAGTCGATATATTCCATATTTCATATGCTCACAAGCACATGGTTTCTATAGTTTGTTTCCGTTGCTCCAGAAGCAAAGGAGCAGGACAGAGTGGGCTCATTGGGATCTAAATAGCTTTTGTGGCTTAAACAGTTGTCATCTCTTCACGGCTTAACTTCTTTTTGCCCTCTGCACCTCTGCCCGTTGCATTTCTTTTTACACACCTTCTCTGCTCTCCCTTTTGCCTCTCTCCACCTTCCTCTTATTCAAAAGCCTGTCACTGATCAATAAAGTATCCAATCATATGTGGAGACAAGGTCGAAAATAAACTGCAATCATTAACTGCAATCAAATCCCTGGGGTGTCCCGGAAAGTAACGTTAGTTACAGTAACGTTAGCTAACATTACTACTATGGATACACTACTCATGTAGAACTCAAAGTCTCTAGCACAGTAACGTCAGCTGTGTAAATCAGCTTCACTTTCATTATACAGTAAAAGATGAGGGCCACGTGAAAAACAAGAAAAAAAGAAAAATAAAAAAGAATAGTACCTTTCTGTGTTGCCTGTCCCAGCTCCAACTTCCCTCCAAACATAACTTTCTTCTTCTCGCTCACTCGTCTGTCTCTCGGGTGGAAGCTCAGCACTGCCCCTAGAGGCCTGGAGCACTTCCATTGTATGAGTGTATATGCAGCATTTTCTTATTTGCAGCATGTTTCAGTATATGCAGCACGTTTCTGTATATGCAGCGTTTTCACGTTTCATTTGTTTTCTCATATGCAGCACGTTTCTCGATTTGCAGCGCATTTCTGTATTTGCAGCATGTTTCTGTATTTGCAGCATTTTCCCTTTGCATTTGTTTTCTTATATGCAGTGCGTTTCTGTATTTGCATCGCGTTTGTCCTTGTCGGCCACAGTAATGCCCCCTCTAGAGCAACGGGAAAAAACTGAAATGCCAAAGCAAGTTTCATGTCGGTGACTTAAAAAATTACGTGGCCATTTATACTAGAAATTTGCAATAGTCATATTGTACATTGCACAAAGAACAAGCCGTGATACATTACAGTATATTCGGTATATCAATCACCCCTAATTCTTAAAAATTTTATCCTAAATCTTTTATATTCAATATTTCAAAGCCACTGAAACAGCATTTTAATCATAAGGGAACGCATTCAGTAAAAGTGACCCCAGTCTGGCTTTAGACACTCATTAGAATTTGTGTGACTTTATTTTCAGTGGACCAACTTCCTGTTGAAGAAAGGCACAAAACATGCCATGTGAAGAAGTATATTATATAGCAATCAAAAGAGAGAACCTGTCCAACATAGGTCTCCCAGCATTGGTCCTGCTGAGAGCGGGTGTTCTTCTCAAACAGAGCTGTCTGGTTGGAGATGATCCCTGACCTGCTCGTGCTGGTGTTTGTAACATCGAGAACCATGGCAATGGTCGCTATGGTGCTGTTGCGTGGCTCAAAGACAGAGATCTCAGAAACCAGAGTGGATGGGCTGTCTACCTCAGGCTGAGAGATGGTGGCCAGGAAGGACCTGGGGTCAGACCAGTTACCTGGATTCAATGGGACCTGGAAGACAAATACAGTAGGGTCCATCACCAGCTACATGCTATGATACTCTTATGGGCAACTAATAATGTCACAGCTGTGAAAGGAATAGTTCAACATATTGGGAAATGGTTTGAGTTGAGAAGATACACATATCAGTATCATGTCTGTGTGTTCAGTGCAGAGCCTCAAACAGGCCGACGTTAAGCATGAAGACTGGACACGGGAAACAGCTGGCCTGGCTGGCTCACTCCAATCTCATTTAACCTCAACACAAACAGAAATGTGTAAACATTGTGTTTTTAGTAACATGCTCAAATTATGTCATGGCAAACAACATCAGGGCACAGATACAACAGATGTAGCATGCCTAATTTGCACTTTTAATGATGGCTAAGAGCAAAACCTTGCAATTTACATGTAATTTCACCGCGTTTGATAGTTGTAAAGTGTGCATATTTGTGTTATTGTCATATTTTTTATGTTATTTTATATTATGTATTTAACGCTATGTTACACAGTATCCAAGTCAGACTGGGTTTGTACCCTCCTGGTAAGTGTGAGACTGGGAAATGAAAACCTGTAAATATTAACCCTCTACCTCAGGATGAGTGGAACCGCAAAAACAGGAGTCATACCGGCTTGAACGTCACCCAGTCAATAAGGTTCGCTTCAGGTGTTGGGGAACCAGGGAACCCTGATGAGAAATTGGGAACTGGAACAAAGCATAGATGGACTAGAGCAGAAGATAGAGGACTGTTGGAATGCTACTATACAAGTAACCCCAGCGAGAGTGGTTACATGCAGAAGATGTGGGACATATGAATGCTTCGAAACCCAACATCAACACTGACAAAGAAATAACTCCTGGCACAACGTCCACAAATGACAACAGCTATCACAACTAGAGATTGATGAGGTTCAACAAACATGCTACGGCAAGGAGGAGCCAGCATGACAGGTCAAAGTGGGGATCCCCACACTCCGAGATTGGGTACCAAGCCCCAAGAATAGATCCACCCAGGGTTGAAACTGAAAAAATACTGGAAGAGCATAGGAAGAAGGAGGCATCACACAACACCGATGCTAAGTGGCTAGTGGCTAAGAGCAGACCGCAGCAATCTCCCAGAACAAGAGCCAGTTACCGTTACATTGGCAGACATCCAAGACAGAGTATCAGGTATGAAGAGCTGGACAACACCGCGCCCTGACATGATCCACACCTACTGGCTTAAGAAATTAAGTGCATTCCATGAACACCTGGTAGCACAAATGAGCCAGCTGCTGATGGATGAGACCCATCCAGAGTGGATGACTGACGGACAGTCCTGATCATGAAGGATCCCCAGAAGGGCACGGTTCCATCCAACTACCAGCCAATAACCTACCTCTGTACAACAGTGAAGCTCCTGTCAGGCGTCATAGCGGCTAAGATGAATAGGCACATGGCCATGAGCAAGGCCCAGAAAGGAAGTAGTAGTAATACCAAGGGAGCCAAGCACCAGCTACTGGTCGATAGAGCAGTCCCCCAAGACTGCAAGACCAGGCAGACCAACCTATGCACCATCTGGATTGACTACAAGAAAGCCCATGACTCAGTGCCACCACATAACCACAATGCTTGGAAATGTACACCACAACAGGACACTGAGAGCCTTCATCAAGAACTCAATGGAGGTGTGGAAAATGACTCTGGAGGCCAACTCAAAGACAACTGCACAAGTTACCATCAAGTGCAGCATATACAAAGGAGATGCACTGTCAACTCATCATAAAGAGTGGCTACGGATCTGAGGTGGGGTCAAGGACTGGTGAGCATCAGAGCCACTGTCCAGAACAAAACAACCAAGATCCAGGAATACATCAGGAAGATGGCCCCCGAAGATGACCTGCTAAGTCAATACTTCGGGCAGCAGAAACCCAAGAATGCAGAAGAGGAGGATGAACCATCATGGAAGGATAAGCCCCTGCACAGCATGTACCGCCGACAGACTGAAGAAGTGGCCCACATCAGAAAATCTTACCAGTGACTAGAAAAGGCTGGACTGAAAGACAGCATGGAAGCACTAATCTTGGCAGATCAATAGATCTGATCTACAAGATCAATAGCAACAGGGGTCAACCACACCAGACAGGACCCTAGGTGCAGGCTATGCAAAGATGCTCCGAAGACAGTTCAGCATATAATAGCAGGGAGTAAGATGCAGGCAGGAAGATCCACATGGAACACCATAACCAGGTAGCTGGCATAGTGTACACGAACATCTGCACTGAGTATGGGCTGGAAGTGCCAAGGTCACAATGGAAGACATATCCTACGAGCTAAGATTGTGTGGGACTTCCAGATCCAGACTGACAAACTGGTGATGGCTAACCACGCAGACATCATGTTGATACACAAACAACAGAAGAAAGCAGTGGTGATAGATGTAGCAATTCAAGTGACAGCAACATCAGGAAGAAGGAACATGAGAAGCTTGAAAAATATCAAGGGCTGAAAGAGGAGCTAGAAAAGATGTGGGGAGTAAAGGCAACAGTGGTGCCAGTGGTAATCAGATTTAATCAATATCTGTGATTGCTGGCCAATCTATTTAAGTGGCAGGTTTGGCATAAATCTACCATAAACCAGTGACCAAATGACAATGGAAGCAAACAAATGAACCCGAAAACCCAACTGGACAGAGGAGCAATGTCTTCTGTTGGCCCAATTAGTTGACAAGCGGAAAACTATTTTAAGAGGTTCAATTTGGCCCAGGTGTCACAGCGCACGCCAAGAGGCAGGCATGGGAGGACATAGCGCAACAGATAAACACTGCATTCCCTCTAGTTGTGCGTGTGAAAAGAGGTGGTATGTGTTGCAGTCCAAAGCAAGAGTGGAGATTGCAGCACACAAACGGGAATCCTCACTCACAGGTGAGTGCTATACATCTTACAACTCCTGGCAAAGTTAAGTTACATACAGAAATATATGTGCTCATATTATGTTTTGTTTATAGGGGGCAGGCCATCCACTAAACATTTGTCTCAAGTGGCAGAGACAGTGTTTAATGTCCTTTGGCACAGACAGGAAGGCACGGACAGTTCAATGATTCAGCTGATGGAAATGCAGCAAAGGTAGAACAAGTTGTTTTTTATGTACCAATAGGCAAGTAAACAGAATGTCAAACAAATTTAATTTAAAGTATAGGTCATGACGCATATACATTTTATATTTTTTATGATATTAATAAAAAACAAAAACTAAACTGTCTTGAATTAACAGTGTTTGTGATCTGAGGAACCGGGGCCTTCAACTTCGCAGGTGTTCAGCCTGTTCAAAGCCTGTCTGATGCTGCTGCTGCTGCTGCTGCCTCAACACCACCCCTGCAGGACAGAAAATTGGAAACTGAAATGGATGTCCTCCAACAGCACACTAGAGTCCTTTGTTTACAGGAGGAGTACTACAAACTAAAAATCGAGCTTCTAGAAAATAAATTACATGACAAGTAAATAATGCATTCATTTGTGTCTTTATTACAACATGCTTTATAATGTATGCCTAGTAAAACTACGATTTCTTGGTTCAATACAGCTACAAGTTTTTATATTACATCGACTGTAACTTGCCTAAAATGCAAATGTGTAAACTGCGCTCTGTAAGTTAAGTTTAGTTTAGTTTATTGTTGTCATATACATTAAAAGGACAGTGTACAGTCAATGCAATGAAATGCATTTTGCCAGGCCCCTTCTCAACCCTCACATCACAATAAAAAAAACAATAAAAAATAAATAATAAGTCAATAAAAAGTCCATAAAATAGTATAAACAACATTCAATAAACATCCAGAGGAATAACCACGTGCACACCACACATAGCACTAAGTGCTACTGTTTAGCAGTCTGATGGCCTGTGGATAAAAACTGTCCTTGAGGTGACTGGTGCGTGCCTTAATGCTCTGCAGACGTTTGCCTGAAGAGAGGTAGGAGAACAGGCTTTGTGCTGGGTGGTAAGAGTCCTTTGTTCTTGCAGCAGGTGGTATAGATGTGGTGTAGATGTCCATTACCTCTGGCAGTGGTGATCCAATGATTTTTGAAGGGGTTTTTACTGTTTTTTTAATGAGCTTATGATCCTGAGCTGTAATACTGACAAACCAAACTAGGATGCCTCCTGTGAGAATGCTTTCAATAGTTGATCTGTAGAAATTGATGAGAGAACTTGTGGACAAACCATTTTTCTTGAGACACCTCAGAAAGAATAGTCTCTGTTATGCCTTTTTGACCAACATGCTGGTGTTCAAAGACCAGCAGAGGGAGTCAGTGATTCGAATGCCCAAAAACTTAAAGGAGTTCACAATCTCAACAACAGCATTATTAACACAAACAGGAAGGTGTGTGGAATTGGATTTCCTGAAATCAATGATTAGTTCTTTTGTTTTTGCAACATTCAGAGAAAGGTTATTGTTGTTGCACCAAACAGACAGATTTGCTACCTCGTCCCTATAAGCAGCCTCATCATTGTTACTAATAAGTCTAATAACTGTGGTATCGTCTGCGAATTTCACAGTTATGTTGTTGAGGTGTTTCTGGTGACTAAGGCAACAGCCTTGAGGCGCACTGGTGTTAAGAACAACTGTGGATGAGTAGTTGGCATTAACTCGTACTGTCTGAGGTCTGCCTGTCAGAAAGTCGTAAATCCACCTGCAGATGGAATCGATAAACAGCAATCTGACATATTAGCATTTTTGCACTCCAGATGTTCAAGCACAGTATGAATTGACAGTGATACAGCATCCTCAACAGATATGTTAGGTCGATAAGCAAACTCTAGAGGGTCGAGATTAACAGGAATATTGTTGTTTATGTATGTCTTCACCAGGGGCCCGTTGCACAAAAGTAGGATTTAGACATCCAGGATAAATGACTGAGCTGGGTTCAACAAATCCAGAACAAGAGCGTCCAGGCTTAATTGGTTGCACAAAGACCAAGCCAGGATGAGCAGACACAGATTCATCAAGCCAGGTGAAACCAATCCTGGATCAGTG